TGTTGGCGATGATAGTGATGGAGATGATGATGATGGTGGTGTTGGCGGTGATAGTGATGGAGATGATGATGGTGTTGACGATGATAGTGATGGAGATGATGATGCTGGTGATGATGATGGTGTTGATGATGATGGTGATGGAGGTGATGATGATGATGATGGTGTTGACGATGATAGTGATGGAGATGATAATAACGATGATGATAACAATGATGGAGATGGTGAGCTGGTGATGATAACAATGGTGGTGATGAAGAAGATGACGGTGGTGCTAATGATACCTCAATAGATAAGGGAGTTAAAGGGCAAAGAGGGTGAACAACAAAGTAGTATTGCCTCCACAATTAAATCTGCCATGACCTGATTGAATGATGGAGAAAGCTTGAGGTGGCAAATGCACTTCTCCTAATTGAGATCTCAGTATTGACTCTGGCCTGTACTGTGTACTGTCAGCCGTACTTTGAACCGATGTGTTTAGTCACACCAAGCCCCGATCACCAGTCTAGTATCCTTCAGAGGAGGAAGTCCATGGACCATAACTGATCTGGCCCACGTGTGTTTCAGACCTACAGCGAATCAGCTGAGTAAAGTGAACCAGCATGGCAGTCAGTTCAAAAGCAATTAGTGACAGGCAGTAAATGCTGGTCTTGTCACTTACGCCCATATTTCAACAATGATATCAAAATCATACCCTGCCACCTGCACTATTGCTGTATGGTAATGCCTCAATTTCAACTCTACATTCTGTTTTTAAATCCTATCCTCTACAACTCTCCCCATCTGTAATTTCCTGCAGCCCCTACACCCCTCCCTATCTCTGTAACCTCCTCTAGCCTTTACACCCCCCTCCCTATCTCTGTAACCCCCTCCAGCCCCTACACCCTACTCTCTGTCTCTGTAACCCCCTCCAGCACCTACACCCCTCCCTATCTCTGTGACCTCCTCCAGCCCCTACACCCACCTCCCTATCTCTGTAACCCCCTCCAGCCCCTACACCCTCTCCTTACCTCTGTAACGTCTTCCAGCACCCTATACCCGACCCTAACTCTGTAACCCCCTCCAGCCCCTACACCCCCTCCAGTACCTACATCCCTCCCTATCTCTGTAAGCCCCTCCAGGCCCTACACATCCTCCCTATCTCTGTAACCCCCTCCAGCACCTACACCCCTCCCTATCTCTGTAACCTCCTCCAGCCCCTACACCCCCTCCCTATCTCTGTAACCTCCTCCATCCCCTACAGCCCTGCTAAAATTGTGCCCCCCCAGCCCCACCCCACCTCACCAAATTCCATCAATCTGCCATTGAAAAAGGCAAGACCAGGGAGAGACAGAGAACGAAGGAACAGTGCCAAACTTGTCCAGGCTATACTGGGATCCAGAGTGTAGGATACCAGGCAACGCCATGTGGGGTTGGGGGTGGGGGGGTGGGGGGGTTGGTGGTGAGGGTGAGGGGCAGATGGATGCAACGTCGGAGTTGGGACGCAGGCTGGAAAGTTTGAAGGAGGAAGGCGGGACACGCGATCGGACATTGGCTGCCCCAAAATGTCTACTACGGGCGCGTGACGTGGAATATGGGGCTGACCTTTGACCCGGAAAGGCACGACCTATACCTGGAGGCGCCCGGCAGGTGCTGGAGCAAGACGGCCTTGAGCACAGTTCCAAAGTCCTTCTTCCTCAGGGCGTAGATCATCGGATTGAGCAGCGAGTTCAGGTGGGACAGGGCCACCATAAGGTTGACCAACCATGAGGACGGGCTGCAGCTGGGGCAGAAGAAGGCCAGGCAGTTGGCCAGGTTGAGGGGCAACCAGCAGAGGCAGAAGAGGCCCACCATCAGGAAGAGGGTCTTGGCGGTCTGGATGTCACAGCGCTTGGCCGACCTGAACTGCTGGCTGTTGACGTATCCATGGACAAGGCGGAAGGCATCGGCGTAAATGCCCAGCATCGTCGAGAGGGGCATCAGGGTACAACAGAAGAACATGAAGTACACCATGTAGTTGAGGGATATCACGTGGCGGAAGGAGCAAGGGCCCGCCACCGCCCGGCTTAGATTGGCGACTCTCGCCATCTCGAAAGGCTGAGGGAAGAAACCCAGGAGCGAGATCCTCTCCCTCAGGAGCGACCTCTCAGCTGCCAGGCTGACGTTGGGCATGAGGCTTTCGGCAGGGAGGTCCAGGCTGTTCCATCCCATCACCGGCGTGAAGCCAATGATCAGGGCCAAGATGCAGCAGAGGGAGATCGCCATGGTGACACGCTTCTTAGTGACCAGGATGCGATACCTGAAAGGAAGGTTCAAGAAGTGTGTTACCTGCGCGAGCATTCGGCCCATCGAGTCTGTTCCATGGGAGTCCTTCCTATGTATGTCCCACCCCCCACAGTACAGGCACAGCATTCCCCTCCCAAACAAGAAAGATTTGCATCTGGACAGTAACTTTGACCATCGCAAACCTGACAGTGCGGCACTCCTTCAGCACTGACCCTCTGACAGTGCCCGCTCCCTCAGCACTGACCCTCCGACAGTGTGTGCGATGTGTGAGCAGCCGGGTTTGGGACAAGCTAAAGCTTACATCTGGCAGAAGTTGGGAGAGTTGCTCACGGGGTACAACAGATGACTCTACGACTCCCTCTGTACTGTCTTGCTGAATTGCCAAGTGATGAAACCATAGAAGGAAAACGACAGTTTCTTACCTGCTTGGCTGTCGGATTTTCAGGTGGGTGTTGATGGCGATGGCCAGCAGGACGAAGACGGAGAACTGGGTGGTGATGAGTGGCCAGCAGGCAAGGAGCAGGCAGCTGTTGAGACACAAGGTCAGGTCCAAGCTCAGCAAGATGCTGCAGGGCACAGCAAGGACACCGACGCTCAAATCCGCCAGCGCCAGGCAAGTAATGAGATAGTTAGTGAGTGTCCTGACCTCCTTGTGTAAATACACAGTCACACAGACCAGTAGGTTAACGCCAGTGACACTCAGACCCAGGGCAGCTTCCAGCACAATAAACAGCGCATCTACTCCCATTGCAACGTTAGCATTTCCTTCCAAGAGCCAGCTTCACTTCCTCTTGACAAGCTGACTGGAAACCAGCGGGGGACCAGAGAGATGCAATTGCATCCTCCTTTCATAACAGTTACACTTAAAATAGGAGGGGGTGTTTCAAAGAACTAAATAAGCAGGAAAATTGCCTTTGGTATCTCTGCGGGGAAACGGGGTTTTAAAAGAAATATGCTACAACGTATAAGGAATGAATTTGTTCTCTAAAACTCGGCCAGCTTATGTTCCTGAGTTATGCCTTGGTTTCGCTGGAGGTCTGAAAGGGATCGGCAAACTTCAGTCATGCGTGTGCGTTAGGAAGCACTCAAAGATTCTTATCAGATGACACCACACTTCACGGTAAACATTAACAACTGTCAGTGCACATTAAGTAAAAAATAATGTCACCAAACCAGAGATAAGTGGCAGTGGTGCTCATATGCTGAAGCGAACATCGGTTGTGTTGCTAAGAGAGTGTGAGTGGGAGCCATCATGGACTTTGTAAAATGTATCTCAGATCAATAAAGGACAGCTAAGGTCTCCCAGCACAGCACTCATCTGCTTTGATTCACCTCCCTGAGCAGATTAATCATTCCTGACTTCCAGCGAATGACAAAAATAATGGTAGCCAGAGGGACCGTGTCAGAGGAGACTAGGGTGAAGATTTGAAACGTATGTCATGGCACTAGGGACAAAGTGTTAGCTTCGTCCCTTGAGGAAAACTGATACCAGAAGCTGGCTGACATGATGTAGACATTTGAAGGGTAAAGGAAGCCGGGAGTAATTTTGTGAAGGTGTAGGATGTGCTAGATCGTAGCCAGCGAAATTCTCAGAAGACACTGCATTCTTCCTCAGAAACGCAAGCAATAAGTGAAAGATCCATGGAAGAAAATCAAAACCTTTGAAATGTGGATACTGAGACCTATGTTGAACATTCCATACACAGACCAGAAGATGTGTTTGGAATAACAAGAGCAAAGAGAATCTTAAAAGCCTCATTACTTTGCTCATGAGATACAAGCTTCATTTTATCTTGTTTTATGTCCTCCACAATATTCCTAACCTATCCTCCAGACTCAATCTTTCTGCTTGCCTTTCTCATATATTTCCTTCTTTTCTCCAATATGTTGCAAATTGCTCAGCTTTGAATCCCTAATTGATTGATTGATTTATTGTCATGTGTACAAACATGCAGTGAAAAGCTTTGTTTATGAGCAGTACAGGCAGATCTTAATAAGCAAAGGATGTACAGATCAAAGTGATTTAGACAGAGGTACGGGTTACATTGTGCAGGGTGTGCGCTAGGCGATATCAACATTAGCAAGATCAATCATTATTTGAGGTTAGAGAGTCCATTCATCAGTTTAATAACTGCCAGGAATAAGCTGTTCCTGAACCTTCTCCAGTATTAATAATCTCTACGTGATAGTTGACAACCTCAGACCTTTTGTTCACATTGGTAACTTTCTGGTTTCTCCTCTCTCAACAAATCTGCTTTCCCTGCAAGGCCTCATATGCCTAAGATAATCCTATCACAGGAAGGATGTGGAGGCTTTGGAGAGGGTGCAGACAAAATTTTACAGGAAGCTGCCTGGATTACAGCATATGAGCTATAAGAAGGGGCTAGAAAAACTCAGGTTGTTTTCTCTGGAGCAGTGGAGGCTGGGGGGAGACTTGATAGAAGTCTATACAATTATGAGATGCATAAATAAGGTTGACAGTCAGAATCTTTTTCCCTGAGTTGAAATGTCTAAAACTAGGGGGGATGCATTTAAGGAGAGAGGGGGGAAAAGTTCAAAGGAGACGTGAGAGGCAAGTTTTTTACACAGAGAGTGGTAGGAGTCTGCCGGGGTGGGGGTGGAAGCGATACATTAGGGGCATTTATGGGACTTTTAGATAAGCACATGAAAATGCAAGGAATAGAGGGATATGGACCAAGGGCAGGCAGAAGGGATTAATTTAATTTTTGGCATCATGTTCGGCACAACATCGCAGGCCAAAGGGCCTGTTCCTGTGCTGTATAATTCTATGGTCTATCTCTAATGAGGTCATCTTTCAGTCTTCCAAACTCACATGGTTTCAGCCAGACATCTCAATGCTGTCGTATGCTATGATGTGGAGGTGTCAGTGTTGGACTGGAGTCAAGGACATTCAGCCTCTGATCTTCAGGTAAACATCCTCCAAGGTGGACTCTGAAATACACAACCATGCAGAATCACCAAGCAGAGACTGATAGCCGAGGTCCATACCCATGAAGACAGCCATATCCGTGATCTCGGGTTCATGTTGCGCCACAGGTGACCCCACCACATTATCCTGTGTCTGTAACATCTTCCTTACTTTACTGTTTTGACAGTATCACCTTGATAAATTGTTATGATCTCTCTACCTTAATTAGTTGGTACAGTTTTGAATTACTTATTACACTGTCTCACACACACTGTCATACAGTCTCAGACACACAAATTCACACACAGACACTCTTTCACATATGTAAACACGCACACACACACACACACACACACACAGACTTTCTCTCACACACACGTACACACACACTGTCTATCACACAAACACAGTCACACACTCACATAGACCTTCTCTCTCACACACTGTCTCTCACACATATTCTCTCACAGAGACACAAATACACACACACATTCTCTCTCTCTCACACACACACTGTCTCTCACACATATTCTCTCACAGAGACACACACACACACACACACACACATTCACACTCACATACACTCTCTCTCTCTCACACATATTCTGTCTCACAGACACACACATAAATCTATGGGGTGAACCATTTCATCTAAGATTTTGTTTATTTGCTGATACATTCTATTTTGTTCAAAAAACACACAATTTGTAGTCGTAGTCAGTCAGTGTGGCATCTTATAAATTCCAGCCTGATTCCAGGTTGAAAATCTGAGATGGATTCTGAACAAAGCCTCACATCTACAATTTAGTATCTGACCTGAGATGTCATCTTTTGTATATTTCTATGGCTCTGCCTGATTGTCACAACAGCACAGCACTGACATTGACTTTATAAACACTTTACACACCGTCTAACATTCTTGGTCACCTGCAGAGACTTATCATCTGACACTTCACTCACACCAGTTGTATGATCTTTTGATCTCTCTGCCTATAAACTCTGTGCCTGTGTGTTACTCTCTCACTGCACCTGATGAAGGGGCTCTGCTCCGAAAGCCTGTGTGATTCCAAATAAACCTGTTGGACTATAACCTGGTGTCGTGTGACTTCTGACTGTCACATGCTATTGACAACATCATTTCCACCCAAGCTCTGATGTTGAATATATACCAAAAGTAACTTTAATATGAGGTTCAAAGTGTGTCTTAAAACCTGCAAACTGTTTGCAGTCTCGTTTACTATGACTCGGTGAGATCTAAGCTGTACACCTTATAGCATAGACAACAAGGTGCAGAGCTGGATGAACACAACAGGCCAAGCAGCATCATAGGAGCAAAAAGGCTGACGTTTCGGG